AAAGTGTGCAGTTATGAGGAGCTCTCACAGCAAAAGAGGTTTCGCCTTAAGAAACTTATAACCTTGATAAGAAAAGAAAAAGGTAAAAAGAAAGGAAAGGGAGGACTAACGAGGGGAAACACATAAGAAATCATGTTGTTGAATAACGTTCTTCTCTACCTTTCCTGTTATCTTTTTTTCTCTATTTTCCTCATGAAGGGCATGCAGGTGGGATCCCTAAATGTTAATGGAATGAGGGATGGGAGAAAAAAAAATGTTTTATCAGAATTAATTTTTACCAAAAAATTAAGTGTTGTATTCTTGCAAGAAACTCACAGTGACCAAAGTAATGAAGTCGACTGGGATGTATGGTGGAAAGGAGAGAAAGCTCTTAGTCATGGTACAAATTTAAGTGCTGGAGTAGCAGTGTTATTTTCTCCTGGGATAAAAGCAAAAATAATTTCAAAAAAAGAATTACAACCAGGAAGATGTTTAATTGTAAGGGCTGAAATTAGTAACCTCGTGTTCTTGTTTGTCAACATATATGCACCAAATATAGGAGCCGATAGAGTACAGCTTTTTAAAAAAATAGATTTTTTTTTAAAGCAGCAACAAGATGATGATTTTATTGTTATGGGCGGTGACTGGAATTGTACCCTAAACTTTACTCTAGACAGAAATGGGGAAGAACAGCATGCACAATCATCTTTCTGTTTAGACAGTATCATTAAAAGTTTGCATTTCTCAGATGTGTGGAGAGAATACAACCCTACAACTCGGCAGTACACATGGGTGAAAGTCACCAATAACAGAGTTTTTGCTGCACGGTTAGATAGGATTTATGTATCACAAAATATGAGAAATAGAATTTTAAAAACTGCTATAATGCCAACATCACTTTCTGATCATAAACTCATCACAGCTGAATGCTCATTGGAAATAACAAATCGTAAAAGCTGCTACTGGCATTTTAAAGTCAAATTGTTAGAAGATATAAAGTTCTGTGAATATTTTATAGATTTTTGGGAGACCTGGAAAAGAGAGAAGAATAATTATGAAGACATTACTCAATGGTGGGAAGTTGGAAAGGTGCACATAAGATATTTTTGTCAGCAATATACATCTCACTCTTCATTAGTTTTAAAAAATACAATAGATGGGCTAGAAAAAGAAATTATGGAGATTGAAAAAGACATGATTGAATGTGAACCTTTAATTTTGAAAGAATTGTGGGAGGGGAAAAAAAAAGAACTTAGTTCAATTCTTAATGAAAAGGTTAAAGGAGTGCTTGTGAAGAGTAGGTTCACTGCAATAAGAGATGTGGATGGTCCTACAACTTTCTTCTTCAATTTGGAGCGTAAAGCTGGGATAGAGAAACGAATGTTCTGTTTAAAAGACACTAATGGACATGACAGCTCAGACCCAGAGGATATGAGAGGAATTGCTGTTGAATTTTATTCTGAACTCTATGCTGTTGAAAATACAGAGGAACAATGCAGGAATGAACTGTTACAAGATCTTCCTAAGATTACTCAAGGAAATAGACTTTCCCTAGAAACTGAACTTAATTTTGAGGAACTGACCACCGCTGTCATGGGACTATCTTCAGGCCGTGCGCCAGGATTGGATGGTTTACCGGCTGATTTTTATAAGACTTTTTGGAACATTATTGGGAAAGACTTTCTGGAAGTACTTCAAAATTGCCTAAGTAAAGGAATTCTTCCTACAAGTTGTCAGAGAGCAGTTTTAATGCTGCTCCCAAAAAAAGGAGATTTGACACTATTGAAGAACTGGAGACCGGTGGCTATGTTGTGCTCGGATTATAAAATATACTCTAAAGTTCTAGCAAACAGGTTAAATGGTGTACTGCATGAAATTGTCCATAAAGATCAGTCTTATTGTGTTAAAAATAGATGTATATCTGATAATCTACATTTGGTGCGGGATGCTATTGATTTTGCAATCCAAACTGGCATTAATGTTGGTTTTTTGTCCTTAGACCAGGAAAAGGCCTTTGATAGGGTTGATCATATTTTTCTTTTTGAGACTTTAAAAGCTTTTGGTTTTGGGGACAGTTTTATTTCTAAAGTAAAAATGCTATATACTGAAGCAACATGTATGGTCAAAATAGCTGGTGGCCTTAGTTTTCCGATAAAAGTACAGCGGGGAATTAGGCAAGGTTGTCCTCTGTCTGGCCTTCTTTATAGTATAGCAATAGAGCCTCTGTTGTGCAGACTGAGAAGAGAGTTAAAAGGGTTGAATGTTGATGCTTTTTTTCACCAACAAATCAAACTTTCTGCTTATGCAGATGATGTCACGGTTTTAATTAGAGATCAAAATGATGTCAAAGTGTTAGAAAAGGCATTAGTGTGTTATAATAAAGCATGTTCAGCAAAGGTCAATTGGGGCAAAAGCGATGCTCTGTGGTGTGGTCAGGAACCTCAAAGTCCATCACTCCCGGGTGATTTAAAATGGGGGAGGGCAGGTTTTAAATATTTAGGGGTCTTCTTGGGGACAGAAGACTTTAGGAAGAAAAATTGGGAGGGTTTATTGGAAAAAGTGTGTGTGAGGTTGTCTCACTGGAAATGGGTGCTGCCCCAGCTGTCCTACAGGGGAAGAGTGCTTGTCTGTAACAATTTGGCTGCAGCATCTTTGTGGCACAGAATGAGAATTCTAGAACCTCCGGAGGATTTAGTACGAAGACTACAAAAGTGCCTGGTTGATTTCTTCTGGTCGGGGCAACACTGGTTGAAGGCATCGGTGCTGTATCTACCGATACAAGAAGGAGGACAAGGACTAGTAGACATAAGATCAAGAATCAAAGCCTTCAGACTCCAAACGGTGAAAAAATTGCTGTATGGGGAAGATGTGAGCTGGGCTGGTATCGCCTGTACCCTATTGAGGAGAGCTGGGAATATGGGACTGGACCGGCATTTATTCCTCATGGACATCAACAAGATAGACCTGTCTGGATTAACAGCTTTCTACAGGTCTATTTTAACATCTTGGACAGTTTGCAGAATTTCTCGAGAGCAAAACGGTGTGCAAAGAATGTGGCTAAAAGAAGAACCAATTCTTTTCAATCCTGCAGTGGACTTGAATATTTTAAAGTCAATATCTCTGAGAAATACTTTAAAAACGGCACATTTTTTAAAAATTGGACAATTTTTATCTGAGGAAGGATGGATATCTGCTGACGTTTTGGCTGAAAACTGGGCATAAGATCAACTCGGCTCGCTCAGAACATACTGACTCAGTTAAGTGAAGCTCTACCAGTGGATTACAGACTTTCTCTAGAAACACATGATGAAGAATTTTTTTCATTCCCAGAATTGTCTATTTCTGCAGACACTGGATTATGGACTAAATCTGAGGGTGGACTGCTGTCTTTTGAGACACCCCAACTTGGACTTTTACGTAATGTTGGGAAAAAAGCTCTTTATGTACTGTGTGTGAAAGTTTTATACCTTCAAACGTTGGACAATGTAAAGGAGTCTAAATGGCAGGAGGTGTTTGGAGCAGACGCTTCCCCTAAAGGTAGCTGGAGGTCCCTGTACAAGCCTCCTACTGAGAAGAGGACTGGAGATCTTCAGTGGAGGACTGTGCATGGGATAATAGCCACAAACAGACACAGAGCACACCTTGATCCAGAGGTAGGGGAGGGTTGCCCCTTTTGTGGAGAGCAAGAAACAATTTTCCATTTGTTTTTTAATTGTGGGAGATTGCAGAGGCTTTTTGCTGAATTAGAGAGATGGTGCCAAACGTTGGGCATGGTTTTTACCCCAATGGTCTTTGTTTATGGGCCGAGATACAGTAGAAGCAATAAAGACGTACATGTTTTAATAAACTTCTTATTTGGACAGGTAAAAATGGCAATATGGTTGTCCCGCAAAGGAAAATTAAATGACACAGGGTCAACTGATGTTTTATCAATTGTGAAGGGATTGATAAAAACACGTATTAAAATAGAGTATGCTTATTATAAGCTAGTTAACAATCTTGAGATGTTTAACTGCAAATGGGGAATTAATCATTGTGTGTGTGAAGTAGACATTGATGGTAATCTGCAAGTTAATATCTAAGGTGGAAAAATAGTTATTGTTTTCTTCCTATGGAGTATTGTTGATTATGTCTATAGTACATGGTCGTTCCCTTCTGGTTTTAAAGGGAAAAACTTTTAGAGTGTAATTTAATTTTATATATGAAGGATTATAATTTTGTAAAATAAAAGAGACCCTAAAAGTCAAAAAAAGTCAAGTCTCTTTCTCTCTCTCTCTCTCTCTCTCTCTCTCTCTCTCTCTCTCTCTCTCTCTCTCTCTCTCTCTCTCTCTCACACACACACACACACACCGCACTTTGGCAGGAAATAACAGAAAGGGCCACCCGTGTAGATCTTACCGAATCTTCTCTATTGAATTTGGCTCTCCTGAAAGCCTCGGCTGTCGGGATCGACTCGATGCTTAACCCAGACAGTAGTTTGCAGAGAGAAGTGATTACTTCTTTCACTTTAACACTCTTTTCGCGCTGCATTTTTCTTCGTGTAGTATGTTGACAGTCTTGATGGTCGTTAGGCAACAGCCACTTCCTAGTTGGGTGATATTTACGTCGTTTTGATTAGTTGCTGTTTTGTCGCGCTTCATGATTGACGTGAATCCTGACCAATAGGAATTGTAGGCAGCCCACCACGATGACGTCTGCATTAAAACTGCAGAAACACTGCATAACTCTTGATTTAATGTTTGTATATTTCATTTATGATTCCATTGCTGTATATTTAAAATGTAGAAATTAATTCTCAAATGATCTAAATTAAAGGGAACAGCATTTCCTCATAATGTTAGGTCTATATGGGTAAAGTTGGACTTGTACAACTTTACGTCTTAAGAACTTTACTGCCCCCTTCTGTTGTTGACCCCATAAATGAAAAAAAATTGAATGCTAGGGCCTATATAACATTAATGATAATGTAATATATAATAATATGATTTGAAAAGATAACAATATAACTTTTGCGCAGAGGACAAAATAGTTTATTTTTTCATTGTGAAACAGTAAACAAAAACAGTTAACATGTACAGGGGTCAAAAAATGTTAAAACATGCTTAAAATTGTAAATATAAAATTTTAAACACATTCATAAAATTGTTAACTTTTTAATTACAAAATTAATTATGGTGCCTTTATTTGGCCACAAGACATGCTACAAACTGTTCGATTACTCTCATTGTGCAAATTGTTATAAGTACCACATATACAATGTAATGTGTTAACAATACACTTGGTAATGAAACTGTATGATAACAGAATAATGCCTATTAATTAGGAGTTTTGCTTACAGTAATTATTAAAAAAGTGGTCATTTTGATAGTCATTAATGAACATTATGAATATAAATTAATAGAAACATAGATTTTTTTTTTCTAATAGAGACTAAAGAATAGCACCACTATTAAAGAGGTTAAAGGTTATAGTCTCTGTCATACCCTTGATAGTATCCATCCAGTTTTGTACTTGCTTTAATATCACTGGCTTGTATTTTACCGTTACATTTTAGCATTGGTCACTCTGAAAAGCACAACATCAAAAAGTTTAGTCATTAACTTTCTTAACTTTTAATATGTCCTTCATGTGGTAACATGAATTAACTGGTAATTCAAGTAAAAAATATGATTCAATATGACTGAATTAAGTTATATTAAATTAATAAAGTGATTTTTAAGGGTTAGATCAAGTAGAAAAATTATTGAGGTAACAATGAAATGCATCATTTCTTATTATAGTGTAATTAGTACCATCCTATATGTCCTTCTGCACAACCCATAAATTATGATTGTGTATCTCTGCTTGTGCCGAGGCTAACAAAACATGGTTCAAGTGTGTGCTTTTCAGATCTATTCAAATAGTGTTAAAGCTCTAGAAAATTGATTTAGCTTTTTATCTTTATTTTTAATAAATACACCTAAAATGCAAATATTGCACAGACTTTTAAAAGTAAAAATGCTGGTGTTTGAACAATAAAATGTGTAAAAAATTGCATTAACTCTCTCCTTCAGCTTCCTCCTCTTCTTGTTTGATGACAGGGTTCCCTAAAAATGAAAATGACGAGGAATCCATTTTTTGCAACCATGGCCTTATTAACATATGATGTTTTTTTTGTTTTTTTTCATGTCATCACAAATATGACACTTACCATCTAGCTTTTTAAGTTTGGGAAGCCTCTTGGTAGCCTCCTCTATCCAGTTGCCTTCAGCGGCATACTTTTCTTCTAATGGGTTTCCCACAAAGACAAGGTCCACCAATGATGGAAGATCTGCCATCTTCAGAAACTCCCCTAAGGAACAAACAGCCTCATAAACTCATCATCCTGGATAGTTCACCCAAAAATGAAAATTCTTCACTCATCACTATGGAAGGCAATGAGGTACATCAACTGTTTGGATAACCATATTCAGAATATCTTATTTTGTGTTCAGCAGAAGAAAGAAATTCATACAGGTTTGGAACAACTTGAGGGTGAGTAAATGTCAATGATGGGTGAACTATCCCTTTAAGTACCCTGACTAAGCTGCTATCAGACTCTCAGGTGAGTCTATTTCCCATGCTCACCCCATTCCTTGACCAAGTTGTTGGACATATATAACACTTTGAGTTTTTTCATGACGTGAATTCCCTTCAGCTTTTCTATGAGGTTATAAGAGATCCACAGCTCCTCCAGAGTATCACCTACTGCCTCCTGTGGGGGACATAAGAGCTGTGTGAATTATCTCTGAATTCTTCAAGCGATAATGTTCTGTTCCTTTACTTACAAGTCCATTAAGGTTTTTGATGTAATTCCGCCCCAAGGACAATATCTTAAGGTTCTCTGGGAGAAAAATGTAAATAAACTGTTATGCAATCATGACGAATGCAGTTGACAGCTTTGCATCTGAAGGGAGTACTTACTTAGACCATTCAAATTGGCAATTTTTTCAATACAGTTTGTAGACAGGGATAATCTCCTAGGCAGGACAGAATTTGCAATGAAGATATTTTAGGGAGTTATTATATATGACTCACATGGAAGATGGTTAAAGAGAAAATACACAAAAAAATTGGAGTTGTATATTTAGACTCACTCGCAGTTGGTAAGATTAGAGAGAGATGCGTCCATTTTTTCAACGGGGGGGATCTGACCATAAAGCTTTACTGCCGTGGCCTCGCTCGCTTTTTCGCCTGTTTTCTCCTCCTTGTAACAACCAAGTGAAATCAATAAACATAATTAATAGTACACAGAAAATAACCTTCAGTTTATACTAGGAATGTCTAATGGGTTAATTCTGTCATTATCACTCACCCTCAAGTCGTTCCAAACCTGTAAGACTTTCGTTCATCTTTGGAACACAAATGAAGATCTTTTTTATGAAATCTGAGAGGTTTCTGACCCTCTATAGACAGCTACGCAACAACCACCAAGATCGTTTTAAATGTAAATCGCCTTAAATGATGAACAGATTGAATTTAGGCTTTTATTAACATATAAACAATGATTAGTGAACATAAAAAGAGAATCATCCGAACCTGCTTGACGTGTAACACGAGAATGAACCTCATTGGTTCTCACACATCAAGCGAACATACTTGAGCTTCTGTTTACCACAACTGGTGTGTATATGAATGTTTATATGTCAATAAAAGCCTAAATTCAATCTGTTCATCATATACAGCGATCGTGTGTCTAGAAAATTTTGACTAAACCGCATAATTCGTTTGGACTCGATCTCTTTATGAACTTTTTGAAATGTCAAAGTGTCAATTGCGTAGCTGTCAATGGAGAGACAGAAAGCTCTCAGATTTCATCAAAAAGATCTTCATGAAAGTCTTACAGGTTTGGAACGACATTTCGTGGGTAAGTAATTAATGACATTATTGGGTGAACTGTCCCTTTAAAACTTGAAAAAAGTTATTCTACAAACTAAATTAGTAATAAATGTTTTACCCATTTCACCAGGGCCTCTTTAATAGTTGTTGCTTTTGCCTAAAAACACACATAACTGATTAGTCACTCACAGCAAGGTAAGGGGAAGTTTATCGTCATTGTCATGTCAAAAACATAGTTAATAGCTGGAAACAAAAACAATAACAAAATGTAGGGAAAACAATTCAGTTAACGTTATGCAACCTTATGTTATTAAATTCACCAGCTCCCTAACGTTAGTCTAATGAATAACGTCACATGCTAACTTACAAAAAGCTCCCTATCCTAGACAGTACATTGACATCATATGTAGTCTGTTATAATTTTTGCACCTTAACCTAATATTTATACTAAGTTTAATACCTAACAAGCAAATAACTTTGCACATTTAAACCTAACCAGCTAATGTCTAACAGCTAGCAAGGCGGCTAACGTTTAATGTTTATCTGCTGCAACTCCCTGACTCAAGTGATGACCATTGAAGCAGCTTGTATTTGCAGCCTGAGTAATGTCATCTTTTCATTATAAACAGCAAGCGCTAGTTTTCCTTATTTAGAACAATGTAATAATGCACCCATTAACATTGCATAACAAGCGTTTAAAGGCACAAACAGGATGGGAACTCACCATGTTGTTCTTTACGGTTGCTATGGAACTACCCTGACGCAAAGCGCGTGCGCAAAGTGATGCTTCCAACGAGCAAGGAATCCGCCTGACAACACAAACATCGCGCTGGTCTCGTTGCCATTAGAATAGACAACTGACTTAATAATTATATTGCCTTAATCGTTAGATGCCACTGCAATGTAAATAGAAAAGTATAAATAAACCTATAAATAATACATCTTCACAATAATAAGACCACCACAATAATAAGACCTTCATTTAATGTTCTTTATATTTTATTCTCAGTATTTTTCGTGTTTGTATTCACATTTTAGCAGCATACCCTATAATTCATATAAGTCTGTTTTTATTTGCTATTAGACATATTTTTGCTTTTTATAATGTACAAACCTTTGCATTGAATACTAATGTAATTCCGTACGATTTGTGCATAGACTGTAAAAAATAGGATTTGTGTGTCTGTCCTGTTTCAAGTTGATAAAACCCAATGAGAGGTTCATGGTGTGATTCCACAGTCAGACCACTGGGTGGGAGTGATGTAACAATGATTGCGCTCTCTCTCTCTCTCTCTCTCTCTCTCTCTCTCTCTCTCTCTCTCTCTCTCTCTCTCTTCTCTCTCTCTCTCTCTCTCTTCTCTCTCTCTCTCTCTCTCTCTCTGTGTGTTTATATTAAGACATGGGTATTACAATGGCATTATGTGTTTATAAGAACATTTCCTGAGACCTTGTAATTTAAATGGCTTGAAAATCATGCAGAAAGTTTTCTGTGCTGGCCAGGTTTAGTGTATGAGGATAGAATATACAGTTTGTAGAGTATAAAAATAATATGGGTTAATAAAATCATACCCATAATAAAAGTATAAACAGTATCAATATCAAGAAAATAAACAAAATGATTAATATCTAATTGGTCATCCACTAATATCTTAATAAATTATATATATATATATATATATATATATATATATATATAAAAAGAATTAAAACACCACTGTAATAAAAGGGTTTCCAAATTCTGCATTTTGTATAGTCCTTAAATTTTACTGATATCTTAGACCTATAATAAAAGCTTTAAACAGCAGTGTATCTACTCTTGGCCATGTATTCCTCATCCTTTTTCGTGAAATGTATTTTTGCTTCACCGACATCATAGGCCTAATTATGACATAAAAAGTTGAAATTATTATATAAAATATAATTATGACAAAAAAAAGTAAATAATGAGATACAAAGTCATAATTAATTGTCATACTTATGGGCTTCAAACAAATTTTTTTTTTCACATGTTAAAATACTTCTGTTAAAAACAAATCAATACGTAATTGTACAGTTGTTATGATGATCACAAATCAAGTCATGAAAAATTCTAGATAAAATACTGAGAGCAAAACATGAAGTATATAAATGTAAATAGGCTATGCAAGTGTATAAATTATAAAGACTATAAACAGTGACAAACAGGCTACAAACAGGAATGCAATGTCCAGTTTTCAGATTTTTACAATTTTCAATTTTCAACACTGAACATTAGACTTTCGAGCCTGATGTTAGACTGGACGTTTATTAGAAATATAATATGTCTTATTTTTTATTAATATGTAGGCCTACTACATCGAGAGTGTGTTATTTGCTTAATAGTGGGCTTTACTTACAATCGCACACGATCGGTCGCATTAAATTGCTTGGTCTGCGGTGTCATTAGTGAAATATTTGTCATTTTTGCACGGAGAAAATAAGTATCATTACGCTGGCAAAACCACGAATAATGAGTTTCAAGAAATTGTATTCATTGCTGAGGAGCACTTGTATCGTGGCGATCTGACACACGCATGCGCAGTGCAGCCCAGTGACAGCGAGCAGCCTCCTCAAGAGCCAACAGCGAGAATTCAGACAGCAGCAGTCAGTCTCCCTAGTTCCTGTTTCCGCCACGACTCGCCAAGCATCCCTTTCATTAAAACATACGCGCTGTGGAGATACAAGTAACCGGTGCCAAATCAAGGTAAGTGTGTCGCCGTTATATACAACCGCATTACGTTAAGAAAAACGGTGTTTTTCTCGCCGCCGAGTTCGCTCCATCCCGGCCTGTTGCTAGCTGCCTCGACTGCTGAACGGGGAAAATAACGGTCAGGTTTGCAGCTCGAGCGCATTGTGTTTTCGCGCCGTGAAACCGAAGTATGCTGTGGTCAGACTGTCATTTTGTAGCCATTACGAGCACGGACACAATGAATAATGTGTTTATGTACTAGGAATAGTTGAGGACGATTGGGAATGATTGTTGTGCCAAATATAGGAAGCCTAACGTTACTTTCAGCGAATCCACTCCATAACAACGTTAGCGGAAACGAATCTACCGTACCAATATACCTGACTAAATTATTAAATTAGTATATGGTTTGTATCAGGGCTGCTGTTGAATTGGTGTAGCGTAAATGTCCGCTACGTTAACCAGACATTTAGCAGAAGACACCACAGCAGGAGCGTGTCCATGTTTATGTGGGTTGAAAGGAGAATGGCAAGTTAACGTGAAGCCACTGCAGACATCGTAGTGTTTACTTTTAGACCCCTAGGAAGAAGGCAGCGTGTTACCGAGGACTGCAGATGGCTTTAAATAAATAGTTAACAACACGAAATAAAATTTCATTTACTTAACTTCTGTTAAATGTTGTACCTTCTATGACTCCCCCTAAAGACTGAAGATGTCAAGCCTCAAAGTGGGAATAAATATGTCACAATAGTAGTCATGACTCAATATTTTGTGTTGATGTCATTCTGTTCCTCACACTATTGCTATTATCTTCCATAAATCTTAACATCCATCTTAGTTCTTATAGAGAACATGAAGAAAGTGGAAATATTTGTAAATAAGTGATTCGTTTGATTGGTTTATCTTTTCAATTGAGAAAAAAACAAACAAACTGGTTAATATGATCAGTACAAAATGTAGTTTCTTAAACAAAGCTAATATATGACTTATTTTGAATATTGTGCATGAATCATGTGGATTACATGTGTGAATGTGAGAGTATGATGATGGCATTTACATATGTCTCTGCCTGTTATTACAACAATACAAACCACTCATTATGATGATGATTGGTTTTTCCAAACACCGCTGCCACAAGTCCTTTTACTATTCTTTATAGCTTTAAGGTAATGTTTCTAAACTGCACTGGGATCAGAATTTGACAGCATATTTCAATATCATAGGCATCTCCTCCAGTGCTCTTTCTTACTTAATCTACTATCACACAGTCACAGATTAGACACACTACAGGATGGGCACTATTAATTTTCATCATATAACAATTTGTCTTGCCTCTTTTAAGGCTACTCTGTGGTTTTTATCTCCCGTCATGTCGTCTGCTGTTTTAATCGATGCTCGGAAAACATTTGCCTCATTTAAGAGCCTTGTAAAATCAATGTGTTCTACAGATGTTCTGCCCAGTCCCTGCTTTTCCAAGCATACACCGATAACAAGCTTTCATAGTCAAGTGCATTATTACATCAACAGTACTTGGACTCGTGTGCAATCTCTCAACAACATACATCTTTGATTGTATTTTTTTGCATTGATGCTGCTTATTTCGCTGGACTTGGAATTAATGATATAATTAAATCCGCTGTGATAATCTGTAATACCTTTACAAGCTTCGGTTTCTGGTTAGATATGATGAGATGTTTCTCCTCCAAAGTCAGATGGTCCTCATCAAAAAATTAAACTGCTTTCTGAATCTGTCTTGTATCAGTTGATTTGCATTGCATTTGGCCTTAGATCAGATGTACAGCAGAACATGATAATATGAGCATTTAATTTCATACAAATATGTAAATATCATAGTTTATATAGCTATACTATAAATAGCAGGTTTCAGTCTTGCACTTTTCCATTGTTTAAAGAAATAAACTGGAAAATATGTTATGTTTAGTTAAGTAACCATAAAAATGGTTATCTGGTTTAAAAAAAATAAAATAAATGACTGAATACAACAGCCTGACTATATTAAACACCAACCAAAGCGATTTTTATGGGTCAGGTAGCAGTCACTCCTTCACATTTCACATTAAAGTCAGACAAACTGAGAGAATGAATTTGACACTATTCTGCTATGTTTACTTGCCAGGGTCCTTAGAGCTGCATTGGCCAATGGCAGTCCCTCTAACTTCCCTAAGGGGAGCTTCATATAGCCAGGGGGATTTTTCTGGGAATTACATTTTAAAAATCCACAAACAGAGTAGTCGCTACTGTCAAATGATAAGCCATATATGATGTTGATGGATGATAAACAAACATTTGGATTTCCACATCCTAACCACATGGACCCACCGTTAACGATCTGTCTCTCGCGGACGTGATGTTGTCTCTTCCTGTGGAAGCCGAGTAATACAATTTTGGTTGATTAAGCCTCTTCTTGACGACTAACGTTTAGTCGACCATTTGGGGGCAGGCCTACCTTGTTTATATTTAGATGAAAACATTCTGTTGTAAAGTTCATAGTCAAGTGTGTGATGTGGCTTTATCTTGCTGAAGTGAAGTTTATCTCTACAGTGTTTTATAAACCTTTACATTCATGTACGTTTTTAGTAGCGTGTGATTATGTCTCATGTTGAAAGTTTGTTTTAATCATCTCAGTTCTCTTCAATCAATCACAACTGGCACAAATGAACAATAAATATGCATTTATTTTTCATAGGCCCCTGAAGTCTTATTGCATTTTCTGCTCCATGAATGTTTTGCACTGACTCACTCTGCTCACACAATTATGGTTGTGAAACATTAACTTGAAAAGCTAATATGTGGTTATGGGATTTCCATAATGTGTAGTTTCACCTTTCAACCTGATCCCAAGCTATATTTGCACGTATAGGTTTTGTTTTGTGTTACTTAAATTAGTGACGCTTATGTGGTGACTGCACATGTCGCAATAGTCACATGATCATGTAATAGGACAATTTGCCTAGTGGAAATCATCTGCATGCAAGTCTGTCTTGTCACATTTGTCATATTTGAGTAATGAACTGAGAAATCTAATAATGCCCTAAAT